CCTTCTGATGAAATCCTTTCTTCTATTCTTTTAGTATAGTTTTAATGTAATATATATCATAAAATAATAAATCAAGCCTTCTGAAACATGGAGTCAGATCCTTGTCTCTTCCCTCATCTTAAGACCCCTGCAAACACCATCACACACCAGGGACATCCAGCACGAGTTTCTCCAGGGAAAAGTTTGGAAAAAGTTGGAAATACGCAGGAGGTTTGGAGTCCCCATCCCTGGAGGTGTCCAAGGAATGCCTGGATGTGGCACTCAGTGCTTTGGGCATTGAACTCAATGATCCAGGAGGGCTTTCCCTCAGTGATGCTGGGATTCTAACCCAAGTGTCCCAGATAGCACCTAAACCTAAGTCAGAGACACAAAAACCCCACACAGAGGTGGCACACAGGGCCCGAGCCCTCCCTGGTACATCTGAGAGGTTGCACACAGGACCTGAGCCCTCCATGGTGCACCTGGCACATGGCACACAGGACCTGAGCCCTCCATGGTGTACCTGGGACATGGCACACGGGACCTGAGCCCTCTCTGGTGCACCTGCAGCCCCATGTCCATCCCTGCCCTCAACCCAAACGCTGCTCTTTCACTGAGTAGCCTGGGAACCAGCAGCTCACTGAGCCCTCCAGGCAGCTCTGTGATTCTGCAGGCAAAGCTGGGAGCTGTGTTTGGAAGGAGACAAAGCCACCAGCGTTTTGTGCTAGTGATTGGAATGTCCCAGAGCCGGTGACTCAGGGATCCTCTCAGCAGAGACTGACCCAGAGTGGCAAAGGAGCTCAGGAGCATCCATTAAATCAGCTTCCTGCCAGACCTGCTGTGTCTCACTCCAGCAAAGATGCTCAGGGCTGCCTGGAAGTGGATCAATGCTTTAAAGGGTGATGCCTCCCAGGGGTTCTCTGGGGCAGCAGCAGCTGCTGAGCAGCTCCAGCCCCACCCAACACAAGCCCACCCTTCCCAGGCTGCTGATCTGGGGGCAATTCCCACATTCCCACAGCAGGCTCCAGAAGGAGCTAATGGCCATGCCCAGCACAAAGCTCCCACTGATTCCTGAGGATTCCTGGGAATGCTTCCCACTGCTCTACCCCACACAAAACCCCTGCCACAGATATCTTTTATGAAAAATCCTTTCCTTAAGATTTTTCCTCCCGAGAAGCTGAGAGGCCTCAGGAACAAAATGTAATCATTGATCATCTGCTGCTGTGGAATGCAACAGGTGCATCTGTGATTGGCCCATGTTGGCTGTTTCTAATTAACAGCCAATCACAGTCAGCTGGCTCGGACAGAGTGTCCGAGCCACAAACCTTTGTTATTCATTCTTCCCTACTCTATTCTCAGCTAGCCTTCTGATGAAATCCTTTCTTCTATTCTTTTAGTATAGTTTTAATGTAATATATATCATAAAATAATAAATCAAGCCTTCTGAAACATGGAGTCNTCCCATCCCATCCCATCCCATCCCATCCCATCCCATCCCATCCCATCCCACTGATGCTTCCCTGGCTGCCTCAGGCACTTGTGGAGGCACTGCCTGGATACAGCAGAATTTTTAAGCCTTGATTTTTTTTATTCTAGGCCTTAACCAGCAGGTTTCTTATCCCAAAATTAGAAAGAAAAATGAAAAGAATGATCTTGAGTGGGAATGCCCTGTCATTCCTCAAGGACAGGGTGCAGAGACCGGAGTCCTTCAGGCTCATGCACAAACCCTGCCCTGGGATGTGACCCCAAACCACTCCAGGGCTTTGTCTCCAGGAAATCCCAGGATCACGGCCCGGTGAGGGTTGGAAGGGACCTTACAGCCCATCCCATTCCAGCCCTGCCATCGGCAGGGACCTTCCACCACCCCAGGGTGCTCCAAGCCCCATCCTTGGGCACTGCCAGGCACAGGGAATGCCAGAGGTGCAGCACAGCAGCCCTCAGACCTCACACCTGTCTCACATCCTTCCCACTGCTGGACTTTGTGGGACTGAGCTCCAGTGGGATGGGATATTGCTGATGTTCCTGCCCCAGGGAGCAGCTCCTGCCTGTCCCAGTGTCCCAGCTCAGCCTGTGCAGCCTCAAGGCCACCAGGAGCACGAGAAAGGAGGAATCTTGGGGCTGGAGCCAGGCTGAGGGATGTGCTCATCCCCTCACAAGTTTAACCCCTGTGGGAGCCAGGTTATGTGGAATAAACCAGGAGTGCCCTCTTCATTAAATGAGGCTCAGACTGAACCAAAATCCTTCTGCTTAATAAATGAGGTTAAAGTCAGCCCAGATTAGAAAATCCCTCTCATAAACAAGCCTGCAGACTGAAGCAGCTCTGCTCTGAGTGCTGCTTGTTTTCTCTGGCTGATTTTAACCCCATTTCCTGCCTCTCACTGACACCACCCTCGACCTCTGGACTGCCAGCTCAGCTCCAGGGGGGACACGGGCGATGAATTCCTCACAGGAACAGCACAAACACCACAAACCCGGAGGATTGGGAGGGATGAATCACCACACAAAGCAAGAACAGTTAGAGATTCATAACCGGGAGAAGGGAAGGCTGGGTGGGATGGGAAGAGGAAGGAGCAGGGTTGGGATTAGTTACTTTGGGAATATTCATGGTATATCATGTAACCAAAGTGCTCCACCTGACCAGAGCCTATAGGGGGGTGTGGGGTTCACAACAGAAATGCGATTACAAATCCCACTACCCCACATCCCAGCCTGACTGCCAGGGAAGCTTTTTTAGCTCATTAAAGGATAATGAATCTGTATTTTGAGGCCACACAACCACTTGGTGTGACCCAACTGAGCCTCTCCTCTCCATGGACGGGATCCCTCCCTTCCTTGAGAGTAAAACACATCCCACATCCAGCAGAGGTGGTTTCTGGCAGAAACCAGGAGAGGATCCAGGAAAATCCCCTTCCCTTTGAGACATTTAAGAGCAAGGAAGCATTTCCCTGCTCTGCCCTTGCCTGAGCACTCCCAGGGGCACCCAGGAGCTGCTGGAGACCGGAATTGGGGCAGGAATCACCAGCCTGGACCTCCACACCCCCTGGCACTGACCTGGGTTTCTGAGGGGACTCTTTGGGCTCCTTGGACCCAAACCAGCCGCTGCTCTTACTCCTCTCATCCCCCGCGGCAGAGGTGTGGACGGGGGTCCCTCTGTCCCCCTGGCCTTTGCCCCCGTGGTGGAAGAAGCCTCCCTTGGCTTTCTTATCCTCCTTCCTGGTGTCCTCGGTTGCTCTGTCCTTGGCTGGCTCAGTGGGGAAGCCCGGAGGAGCCGCACCCTGGCTGGGTTTGCCCTCCTGGCGGGCGCTCTCCTCCATCCTGGCCCTGCCCAGGTGGTTGCTGAGGGTCACGGCCTTGGTGGACACCTTGAGCTCTTCCTGCAGAGCCAGGCTGGGAGGGGACGGGATGAAGCGGGGCTCGTCCCTCTGCTG